GACAACGACGAGGGAGGAGGGAGGACGGCGGCGACGCGAACGACGAAAAAGGAGGAAGGACGGCGACGCCGACGACAACAACGACAAGGGGGGAGGGAAGACGACGACGACGACGACGTAGACGACGACGACGGCGACTAAATAGGAGGGACGACGAAGAGACGCCGACGACGGACGACGACAACGACGACGAGGGAGGAGGACGAAGGACGGTCACGGCGACAACGACGACGGAAACGACCACGACGCCAAAGAGGACGACGACGACGAACACGAGGAAAGACAGAGGACGACGTAGGCGACGACGACGACGACGACGACGACGACGCGGGAGGCGGGAGGACGGCGACGACGACAACGACGACGCAAAAGCGCGCGCGCACGATTTTGTTGAAAATCCGTGTTGCGAAACCTTATATATTTTTTGTAGGTTTTTGGGACACACGATTTTGAAATCCTTCCGAAACCGATGGGTTTTGAAGGATTTCGGCATACGCGCGCGACGACGCGCGCGTCTGCACTTCGCCTTATTTATTGCAGAGGATTCTCGCGACGGCACATGCGCAAAGGCGTTCGACAGATTTACGACATGCGCGCGCGAAACCCGTTAGGTAGCATATTGTGAGAAACTGAAGAAAAAACTATGGTTGTCTCAAGATTTCGCAAGAGCTCGCGCGTAAGTTTTTTTAGCAAATCAGTGTTGCGAAACCCTGTGATTTTGTATGCTTTTTGCAAACTTGATGACGAAGAAACCCTTCCGATACCGGAGGTTTTTGAAGGATTTCGGCATGCGCGCGCGACGACGCGCGCGTGTGCAGTTCGTCTATTTTTTTGCAAGGGATTCGAGAAAAAGTCGGATGTAAAAACAAAACATGTCCCCGCGTATTGTTTTTCACAAGGGAACCTCCGGGGGAGCGATACCGGCCCCCCTGGGATAGTGTAAATTCATATTTAGGATGGACATGTGGACATAATCATATACGATTTACATACCCGACAGGGGGACGGATAACGCCGGGGGGGGGGGGAGAGTCTATTCTCTTTTTAGAACGGAGAATATATGACGGGTAATCTGCGAGGAAGAATATGTGAAATGCAACATACGAGGTGCAATATATTCTGTGATAAAGACGCTGTGCAACTTTTGAGCAGGTACCGACCGTCCCGGCATTCCTGTAGGCCTACCACGAAATGTTCTCAGAACCTAGAAAAGTTATAAGAACGGGGAAAAAGTGTTCTTTTAACATAAACCCTATGTGTTAAAACAGGACGGTCCCAGCCAACAATGTTCTAAGAACATGTCGTGCAAACCAAACAAGGTGTTTAACATATTTTTTGGTGGTCCTTTAGGCGAGCCAGGACGCTTCGCCACTGCTTGAAACCTGCTGTGCGCAATGTATGTAACGCAATCTATGTTGTGAAACACGTTGTGTGCAATCTATCTTATGCACACTGGGCTGAGCAATCCATATTGTGCAACCTGTGATGTGCAATCGAACGGTGGCGACGAGCGGCGATGGTGGCGACGGGCCAGCGACAGCAACAACATAGCCACCAGACCGGCAGACAGGCCCAGATACGGGCGGCAGCGAGGCGGCGACGGCGGCAACAAAACCGCCAGACCGACAGACAGGCCCAGTTACGGGCGGCGACGCGGCAGCGACGGGGCGGCGACGGCGGCAACCCAGCCACCAGGCCGACAGACAGGCCCACCTCAATAGAAGTGAAGCAATAACCCCTGCATGCGAGGACTGCTTGGGGAATGACGCGCCCCCTTGCTGCGAGACGCAACGCCTACCTGCCGCGGCATGCGCATGAGCTGCGGGGGGGCGATCCTGCTGCTGCCGCCCGCGAGGGCGGAGGCGTCTCCGGGACGACGTGCAGGTCCTCGGCGTCCAGCAGCGCTGCGAACCTGGCCCGGCACTCGGCGGAATGGGCCACGTGCGCAGGCCCTCGGCACCCGTGGGCGCACGCTGCGCAGCCGGGCGTGCCCCCGAGCCGCTGCGCGGCGGTGGCGGTGATGTACCTCGTCCTCTTGGCCGGTCCGGCGGGCGACGGTCCTGTGCGCGGATCCGAAAAGGTTTGGAAGCGGCAGCTGCGCAGATGCATCGGCATCCACCTCCCCACACCTCCTCGCCTCCACCTCCCCACACCTCCTCCTCCTCCTCCTCCTCCTCCTCCTCCTCCTCCTCCTCCTCCTCTCCTCCTCCTCCTCCTCCCATCCTCCTCTTCCTCCTCCGACTCCTCTTCCTGGAGGATGAGGAAGAGGAGGAGGAAGAGGAGGAGGAGGAGGAGGAGGAGGAGGAGGCGGAGAAGGAGAAGGGGGGATGACATGTCGACGACGGGGAGGAAGATCAGCAGCAGCAGCAGCGTCCTGGGCCCTGACATGGGGTGCAAGACATCCTGGCCTCGACTGCGGGTCTCTCTGCACCATGCCGGGGCCCAGGACGGCCCTTGCCCGAGATGTTGGTGACCAGGGGTGGTGTCTAGCTGCCCCCCTTCTGGAAGGGAGGACAAATACGACACGTGGTCAGATTACGAACGGCAGTGTGAGAAAAAGCATACGGTAACCGGGCAATCGTCGATGGCAAAGACCGCTCTCGCTCCTCCATCCCCCTCGACATCCGATCCAAATAGTCCCCTGGCTACCTCCAGGAGTCCGTGCTGACCAGCTCTTTCTCTCTCTCTCTCTCTCTCTATCCGCCCAGACCGATTCCTGACGGCCCCGGGGGGCAGAAGCGGAGCTCGGGCGATCGCGAGGAGAAACCTCTGGCGCGCTCTCCCCGAGTTTGGTAGATCCCCCCTTCGTCCGACGGGGGACAAGAGGGATGGACTGGCGCAGGAGCGGACACATCGACCTGGAATCGGCGATGCATCGCCGACAGATCGGAGATAGGCCCTCGTTAGCGGCACCGCACGGTCCTGGGCACGGTGGGCTGCCGGGCTCCTGTCGGCGGGCAGCGGGCGCTTGGGGGCTTCAGCCTATCCCCCACTGGCGTTGCCCCTGATCCTCAACCTCGCCGCCCTCCTCCTCTGCTCCTCCGCTCCTCTTCCTGCTTCTCCTCGCCTTCTCCTACCTCCTTTTCCTGGGGGCCCTCTTCTAGGGGACCAACAATGACATAAACAGCGAAACTCGGAGGTACGCGCAAATTCCTCGGATCGGCGACGGAGGCGCCGCCAAGGGGGTCCTGCTCCGCTCCGAGGAGTCCGCGCGGACCTCTGAATCCCACCAGCCCTCTGGGCTTAGGTGGTATAACGCGTTGTTTCTTCTCTCTTCCACTGAACCCCCTCCCCCTGCCCCCTCCCCTGGGCCTGGACGGGGCGCGCCGCGAGGCGCTAGAGCGTCCCAGATGGCCCAAGATTGCTCCAAGAGGCGTTCAAAGTTGCATGATGGCCTCCAAGATGGCCCATGATACTTCAAAATGGGTCAAGTCAGCATCCGACATACCCCCAAGAGGCCCCAAGACAGCCCCACGATGGATCCAAGTGCCCTTCGAGCCCTCCACGGCGCCCTCCAAGATGCCAAAACCTTTTCAAAAGCTTGGTGAAAATGAATGTTTTTGGTATTCTCGCCTTTTCGCTTCCGATGGGCTTTGGAAGCGTCAAGATGGCACCATGATGGCCCAAAAGGGCCCCAAGAGGGGCCCAAAAAGGCTGAAGACGGCCCCAAAATCGCCCAAGAGGCGCCCAAGAACGCTCCAAAACGGCCCCAAGACGCTGTTTGAGAGCCTCCGACGGGGGGATCCGTTGAGGCGCCCCTCTGTTTGAGCCATGGGGCCCAAGATGGCCCCAAGAGGCCTCCCAGCCTCTCCCAAAGACCCTCCACCCCGTCCTTTTTGGCCCAAGATGACTCCAAGGGAGCCCCAGATAGCCCAAGATTGCCTTCAAAATGGCCTGAGATTGCCAAGCATGGCTCAATATAGCCTCCGACAGCCCTTCAAGAGGCCTCAAGGCAGCCTCAACATTGCCAAAGATAGCCGGGCATGGTTCAAGATAACCTCCGACAGCCTCTAGCCGAGCATGGCTCAAGATAGCCTCAAAGAGGCCTCAAGAAAACTGGCAATCAATCATGGTCGGGCTGGTGGGGATACTTTTTTGGTCGCGGGCGGACGCGAATTCGCAGTCGCCGAGCTGAGAGATCCGGGCCACGGGCCTGTCAAAGCTGGTGGGGCTACTTTTTTGATTGACGGCTCCAAGGACAGATCCAGGAAGCGGGGCGGTCTCGGCTGGGGCACAGGGCGAGATAATTGGCTACGACGGCGCATAGGCCGACGCAACAAGTGCACGTGCCAGGGAGAAAAAATGCCCCCCATTAAGATGCGGGCGACCCAGGAGCGGGGGCGCAGGCATCGGAAGGAAACAGACGGAGGAGGAGTCGCACAGTGGCGCCAGCTCGAACCGTACTGACCAGCGCGTACTGGCGTGGGTCACGCTGCGCCGTGGCAGCACGGAGGGCCAGTGAGGCCGCGCCGTCCATCACGACGAGAAGGCGAAGGAGCGAGGAAAGGCGGCGGGCGCGAAAGCACGCGCGGACAGAAGAGGGGGGGAACCGAGGAACGCCTTTCTCACATGGACTCCTGGGAGTAGTCGGGCATAAGCGAACAACCTATGCATGGAGACGTCGCTCCTGTCTCGGAGCCCACAACCTGCAACTGCCTGACTCTGAAGGCCGGGGGGCTACAGCTGCAAGCATGGTCGAGCACCACGGACCACCCCGCGGGGGGGCCGAGAAGCACTGCCAAAGGATATACCACTTGCGCAGTAGCAAGAGCTCGATGGCGGCGCCCGCCGTGAGAAGCGGGACAACCCAGTCGTCGGTGCACAGCGCGGGCAGCTTATCCATCACGAGGACGGGGGCACAAAGATGCGAGCGTCAACCGGGGTGGCAGGGGCGGACCTGATGGGGAAACAACGGCAACCGGCCAAAGGGTGAACCACTTGTCGGGACAGCGCTCTTCCTCATGTCCGGCCCCAAGTGGTGCCGGGGCGGGGTGGCGCGCCAGGCTGCGCCATGCCGTAGCCCAGCGCCAGAAGCGCCGAGAACCACTCCCAGACCACGCGGACGAACCGCGCCCGCACCAGGGGCTGGAGGAGTCGCACCGGCGGGGGCGGACTGCAGCAGACCCGGGTTGTCCGAAACCACACATGGCAGCCGCGCCACCCGACCGCACCTCGGAGCCCTGCCAGTGAGCCTCCAGGTGCCAAGGATGCCCGAGTGCTCCAGAGGAGCCTCGGTAGGGGGGAAATCGTGGTCGCCCCACTGTGCCCTGTGGAGGGCCTGGAGACTGTGGGGGGAACACCGCGCCAGCAGGGCCAGACCATCGCGGGCCTTCTCTGACCGATGCACTCCTTGGCGGCCCCAGCCATCAGAAAGAACCCCGAGTCTTGCCAGGGGGCCATCAGGGTGCCTTCGAGGCCCGTGCGGCCCCTCGGCATCAGACTCCGTGTGGGGGCGCAGCCGAGAGCCGCAGTGCCAGGTGGGCAGCGCCGGGGGGAATCCGAGCGACGCGGAACGCCGACTGAGCAAGGAGGGGGAGGAGGAGGAGGGGGGGTCGCAGCCGAAAGCCGCGCAATCCAGTGAATACGAGGAGGAGCGGGAGGGGGCGCCGCGCCACTCTTTCGTCGACGGTCGGCGGTGCCACTGTGGCTTGATCAGGTCAACGACGCGGCACGAGTAGCCCCACTCGTTGTCGTACCAAGCCACGAGCTTCACGAACGTGCGGTCCAGCATGATGCCCGCCTTGAAATCGAACGCGCTGGAGACGGGGCACGTCTCGAAGTCGGTGGACACGAGTGCCACGTCGCAGTAGCCCAGGAAACCCTTCATGTCGCCCTCCGAACGCCTCTTGATCTCGGCGCAGAGCTCCTCGTAGGTCATCGCCTTCCCCAGCTCGCAAGGGAGGTCCACGACCGCCGCGTCGATGGTGGGCACGCGGACAGCCATGCCGGCGAGCTTGCCGGCCACCTCTGGCACGACCCTGGCCACCGCCATGGCCGCCCCCGTCGAGGACGGGGTGATGTTGCCCGACGCCGCGCGCCCACCATGCCAGTCCTTCTTCGACGCCCCGTCCACGGTTGGCTGAGCCGCGGTCATGGCGTGGATGGTGGTCATCAGGCCCCGCTTGATGCCGAAAGCGTCGTTGACAGCCTTCACCGTGGGGGCGAGGCCGTTGGTGGTGCACGAAGTGCCCGAGACGCAGTCCATGTCACTCTTGTAGGCGTCCTGGCGCACGCCCATCACTATGGTGTGGCTGCCGTCCTTAGCCGGGGCCGAGAACACGACCTTCTTCGCGCCCGCCTTGAGGCGCGGCTGGATCTTCTCATCCGCCAGGAACACGCCGGTGGACTCGCGGACGTAGTCCGCACCGTGCTCCTTGAAGGGGATCTCTGTCGGATCACGGGTGTGCGACAGTGCCACCTTGTGGCCGTCGATCACCGAGGAGCCCCCGTCGACCTCGACCGTTCCGTCGTACATGCCGTGGATCGAGTCGTACTTCATCTGGTACGCGAGATGCTCCGCGTGCGCGCTGCACGAACCCAGGCAGATGCCTAGGCAGGTCCCGAGGGGACCATCACCCCCGGAGGGGTGAAGATAGTGGTAGTTGTTGTCCCGGACGGGTATGTACTGGAAGTACTGCCTGCCTGGGTCATCCTCGAGGACATGGCTTAAGCTTGGGCATGCGCTGCTCGCTGGTCGAAGTATTTAAGGTGGGGCTCGTGGAGGAGGAGCTGCTGAGTCGGACTGCGAGTTGGGATCGCCCCAGCGCTCTCTCAACACATGTCGCCTGATCATGGCAAGGAATATCAGTTTGTGTTTCCATTGTTCCTTGTAGTTTTGGGGCAGCCAGGAGGGCCACCCTGTCCTTCTTTCACATGCAGAAGGCGGCGTCACCATGCCGACGCGGAAGCACGAGAGTGCGGGGCAGTGCCACGCCTCATGCTTCCAGCGGCTGACTTCGCCTCCACACCTGTGACAACGAGGAGCAACAGCCCCGTTGAGGATCTTGTCATACTTGGCAGTGCTCCAAACAGCACCCGTGAGAACAGCCATCGCATGACTCCCAAGATCGTTCTTGATTAGATCGTGAAGCAGCGCCAGGGACTGCGGGGCGAAGCTGACCCGCGCGGACGCGGCCAGCAGCGAGTCCTTGCGTCCCACCACGAACGCCGAAGTGCAAGCCGCACCAGATGCTGCGCCACCTTGGTGGAGAATGTTGGACAAATACTGATTGGATCGTCTCCCAGCCAGCCGTGCCAGCCCTTTGGATTGCTGTGCTCGCAGAAGCTGAGAGACAACTGGTTCATCAAGTCGTTGAGCATCGCGGTGGGGCCACGGTGGCGCGTGAGACGACGCGCTGCTGTCGGGACAGGCGCCTCCGCGACCTCGGCAAGGCAGTCGATTGCAACTGCTCCCTGCCGTTTGCACCGGGCCCGCCAGATCACCCACAGACGCGAAATAATTATGTAGAGCATGCAGCAAGAGTGCCCTGTGACCAGCAAATGTCTGAGATGAAGACAACCCGAGCGCCACCTGCCTCCGAGGACGGCGTGGTCGATGTAGGACTGCCACTTCTGGATCTTGATCTTACCTGGAGGCGACCGCTCAGCTACCCAGAGCAGCCGGGCGTAAGCACAGGGCATCAATCTTCTTTTCTGCCACCACGGGAATGGTAGTGAACGAATGCGCCGGCATCGCTGCTGAAGGATCCGGACCGCAGGGGCCTCGTCCTCAGTGCTGGGCTTGCCGTGGAGGGTCAACTTGATCCCAAGCACCTTCATCTCCTCGGAGGGGCGCTTGCGGGCACCTGGGAACAAGTCGATGGTCTGTGTCTTTTAGGGGTTTGTGCACATAGCTGTCAAAGATTCGAAAACTTGCCACACCTGCTGAACAACCTGCATGGTACGAACATCTCTGGTGATGGTGGCCCGGTCGTCTGCGTAGAGCGCGCTCGTGGCCGACGGCGCATGCCTCTGCGCACGATGATGCGGCAGTGCTAACAACACAGCCATGGCGAGCATGCTCAAAGGGCCCCCCTGGGCAAGGCTCCTTGATACATGGACGAATTGTGGGTCGACGTACGTGCCAACCTTATGTATTTGTACTGGTCTGTCCAAAAGGCTCGGATAGCACGTAAAACGTGAAGAGGCACCCCAAGGTACTCGAATATGTCAGTCGTGAGCATGGCGTCGACGCGATCAAACGCAGACTCGAAGTCCCACAAAGCCACGTGGAGCTCAGCATGACCTGGAACAGTGAGGTGCTCTGCGTCCGGGCCGCATTGCTGCCATTAAAAAATTGCTACGGGTCTCGTCAATACTCGAGAGTAGAGGCTCGATGATATGTTCAATCGTGACTCCTGGGATGCCGCCGGCCTGCCCTGCCGGCCACATGGGTTTCAAGAGCTCCGCAATCTGCCCGGTGCGGAATCTGGCCCAAGCCCTCCACCAAACGCAGGCGATGCTGATGGGGCGGAGCCTGGCGACCTCTGGGGAGCCGCGTCCGCTGCCCCTCGGGATATGGATTTGGCGCCACTTCAAACCAGTCGGTCGGCGGTCGGGCGCCCTCTTCGATCTCAGCAAAACAATTGATGAGAGATTCGAGGGCCGAGTCCGGCAGCAGAAGGGCCTCATCGGCAGACCAGCCGTCAACGCCGCAAGCCTTGCCCCTCATGGGCTTGAGGGCGCGCCTGAGCTCATTGACCCCAAATAGTGGGAGACGATCCGGAACCCCAGTCGGCTCCGTCCATGCGCTCTCCGCCTGGACCCTGGCGGCGATCCTGCTCTTGAAGGTGTCGAGCTCCTCCCAGAACTCGTGCATGAAGTCGTTGATCCTGTTGCCATTCCCACAGGCCTGATAATGCTGCTGGTAGTGTTCACGGGCGGCATGTGCAGCCCCAGCGCCAGTGAAAAGCTCATCCTTGATTCTGACCGCTGCGTCCGTTGGCCGCCACTGTGCTCCTCGGATCCACTTGTATACAGCAGAGCCGCCGGGGTCGATCTTCACGCGGCGCTTCCATGCCGAGATCCTCTCCATCCGGGAGACATCCAATTCGCGCTGGAGACGCTGATGCGCCTGGTCGAGTTTCTGCTTGCGGGCGCCGGTCAGCCCAGGGCCACTGGCAAGCATGCCTGCTTCAGTGGCGAGGCCCCGCTGCCACTTCAGGCCAAGCCCCCGGGCGACCTGGATGAAGCGTCGGAGCCGGTCCTCAACGCAGCTAGTCTTGGATGCAGGGCCGCCCCCAAGTTCAGGTTTTTCTATCACTCGGCATTTGTGTTTCCAGTCGCCTTTCGGCATAGTGGTCGGGGGGTTGAGGACGAGCATGTGCTGCAAGCAGGCCTCAGATGCCTCTGACCACGCCTGCCACCATGAGTCCATGTCGCCATACTCCTCCATCCCAGTATGTCTGTCATAATTCCCCATATTGTCATTCCAGAACAGCTCCGCCGTATCCAGCCAAGCCGCCATTTTCACTTCATCATTCTTGAAAGTGTCCGGTCGTAGGTACCGGCGTAGCTTGGCCCAATGGTAGGGCTGCCTGTCACCTGTGCTGAGGAACTTGTCCACGAGCATGGGCATGTCCAGCAATGCGAGCTTATGATCCGAAATGTGATGTGACGCACAGAACACCGAGGATGCGAGAGGCGCCCAATCTGCACGGATAGCGAAGTAGTCGATGGCCTCGATCCGGGGCCCTGTCCATCGAGTGGCCTCCGGAGGAACCAAGAAGCGAAAATTGAGAGTCGTGTCGAACTCGACGCTGAAAGGCGAGTCGGCCTCAACATTCCAGTCGCCAGCGAAAACAACAGTGTCGCAGGCTGGTACGGCTGCGGCTTGTTCCAACAACCATGTCTTGAAGTCATCTGTGGCGTCCATGTCCGCAGTGCTCCGGCGGCGCAGGTTGACGAGCCAGAAGAACGTGTCGTTGCGGTGCACGGTGTAGACAGAAGCGTCGCCTCCAGGGAAGCGAGCGCCTGCGCGCCAGGCAGGGCGCCACATGTTAAAGTAAGGACGACTGTACCTCCCCCTGCAGGGATCCCCCGGCTGGCCTGCCCAGGGCAGCCCGACACAGTACCCGGGAGCATGTGCCAACCAGATTTGGTACACTCGGCGATCTGGGAGGCCATCTGGTACTCGTTGATGCGGGACTCCTGGCACGCAAGAATGTCGACGCCCAGCTCCGTGGCCGCACTCAGTGCAGCATCCCGGTGGCGCCACCAGCTGGCGAGGTTGATGGTGCCGATGCGGATTTTGATGGCCTCCTGCGGCAGGAGGTTCACGTCTAGCTTGGAAGATGTGGCCCCAGTAAGGTTCTCGTCAGACGCGACGAGCTCGCCCCCGGGCACCAGCCTAGTCGATGCTGGCGTCGGTGCTGACATCGATGCAGGCGCTGATGCAGGCGCAAGCTGCGCTGTCGGCGCTGGTGCTGGCGTAGTCGCCGTGGGCGTCGATGCTGACGTTGGTGCAGGCGTTGGTGCTGGCGCAGGCGCTGGCATAGATAACAGTGCCTGTGCTGGCGTAGTCGTTGCTGGCGTCGGTGCTGACATCGATGCAGGCGCTGATGCAAACGCAGGCTGCACTGTCGGCGCTGGTGCTGGCGTAGTCGCTGCGGGCGTCGATGCTGACGTTGGTGCAGGCGTTGGTGCCGGCGCAGGCGCTGGCATAGGTAACCGTGCTGGTGCTGGCGTAGTCGTTGCTGGCGTCGGTGCTGTCATCGATACAAACGCTGCCGTCGTCGGTGCTGGTGCTGCTGCTGGCGTAGTCGCTGCTGGCGTCGATGCTGACGTTGGTGCAAGCGTTGGTGCCGGCGCAGGCGCTGGCATAGGTAACAGTGCTTGTGCTGGCGTAGTCGTTGCTGGCGTCGGTGCTGTCATCGATGCAAACGCTGCCGTCGTCGGTGCTGGTGCTCATGCTGGCGTAGTCGCTGCTGGCGTCGATGCTGACGTTGGTGCAGGCGTTGGTGCCGGCGCAGGCGCTGGCATAGGTAACCGTGCTGGTGCTGGCGTAGTCGTTGCTGGCGTCGGTGCTGGCATCGATGCAGGCGCTGACGTCGTCGGTGCTGGCGCTGATGCTGGCATAGTCGCTGCTGGCGTCGATGCTGACGTTGGTGCAGGCGTTGGTGCCGGCGCAGGCGCTGGCATAGGTAACCGTGCTGGTGCTGGCGTAGTCGTTGCTGGCGTCGGTGCTGACATCGATGCAGGCGCTGACGTCGTCGGTGCTGGCGCTGATGCTGGCGTAGTCGCTGCTGGCGTCGATGCTGACGTTGGTGCAGGCGTTGGTGCCGGCGCAGGCGCTGGCATAGGTAACCGTGCTGGTGCTGGCGTAGTCGTTGCTGGCGTCGGTGCTGTCATCGATGCAAGCGCTGACGTCGTCGGTGCTGGTGCTGATGCTGGCGTAGTCGCTGCTGGCGTCGATGCTGACGTTGATGCAGGCGTTGGTGCTGATGTGGGCGCTTGAGCAGAAAGGGGGCTCAAACTTGTACCGATGCTTTGTGGCCCAATCGCTGCTGCCGTCGATGCTGACGTTGGGGGCGTTGGTGCCTGCGGAGACGCAGGCATTGGTAATGGTGCTGATGCTGGCGCGGTCGCTGCTGGCGTCGGTGCTGACGTTGATGCAGGCGCAGGCGCCGCTGCAGGCGCAGGCATTGATGCTGGCGCTGGCATTGGTACTGTCGCGGTATTTGGATTGTTTGGCGCGGTCTCGTCTGGTGGGACTGGCGACCCGTCGCGGCCCAGGGCCGCGGAAACCTCAACGCCGACTCCGGGGCCCCTTCGGCCCCCATGCATGCTGGCGCGCCCAAGCCAGGAAAGCCTGGAGGCGTTTCTTCTTGGACATCTGGTTGCGCTCGCCCGCGCAGAACGTGAGGAACGAGCCCCACTGCTGATCAGAAGGTTGGCGAACGCCGGTGCTCCGCCACGCTGCAATGAGGTCTTTGCGCTCGTCTGCAGGCCTGGCGTGCCAAACGCAACGTTTATCAGAACGCCTCCAGCCGCTAGCATCGCCGTACCACGGCTTGCACAGATGGCCCTTCCAATCAAAGACGGTGTTGAAACACATGTTGTGGCACTTGACACAAGAATATAGGATGCTGCCGCCGGCCTGTGGGCGCCTCTTCCCCGTGGTGATGACGGCTGCTTTGCTACGCGTCTGCTTCCCGAGTAGACGGCGCGCCCGGAGCAGCATCGACTGGTGGAGTTTGTTTTTGCGCTCAACGGCGTCACGCACCTGCTTGTGTTTCCTGGACCTGTTCAGGTAGGTGAACTGCTGGAAGGTGCACTCGTCTTTGTGATCGTCTCCCCAGTGCTTGCGGAGGGCTTTGGCCTTCCACGCTGCATTGGGAAAGGAGGAAGCACCTTTGGTACAGAGCGAGCATGACCATACCCGCTGATCAGCAGGGATGTTCTCTGAGATCGTAGGCATAGTGAAGTACTTCCTGATGGCTGTAGCTTTCTTGCGCTCCTCGATGGTGCGACTCTTGGTAAGATGGTCCGCTCGACGGCGCGAGAGGCGCATCATGCACCTCTCGGCGCCGACCCAACCACAGAGATTGCAAATCCACTTGTAGAGTTCCGCCGGGCGCTTGCGCGGGGCGGGCTGCGGGGCGGCGTAGCAGGCAGAACCGGGGCCACGACGTGCCATAGAGCGCCGGGAGGCGCCTGCTGGCGACGGTTGCCGTATAGAGCGTGCCCTGGAAGAAGAAGGCGTCGCCGCTGCCTGTGGTGCGCTGTGCCTGCGGTCAACAAGATGTTGAAGCCAACTATCCACAGTGCGAGTGCAGGACCTGCCAGACTGTCTAGAATATGCGGATTCACCATCGTCATGGCGCACCCGCTCTACCCCAACACGCGGAGCTTTCTTGACTGCGTCAACGAAGGACTGCTTGGCCGGCCTGCGCTTGAGAGTCTCACGCAGGCTGGACTCCTTCTGGAACAGCACCGCGCAGTGGCCATCCCTGACACCAACGTGCAGAGGCGGGTGGGCAGCCGCCTCTTTGATAGCGTCTTCCATCCGCGGGATCCATGCGAAGCGTTGGCCCCGCTGTCGCTGGCCATCCACGGTGTCGTGCCCCACGTAGGTGAAGATCTGTCGGCGGTGCACCTCTGCGGCGGCATAAACGCCTGCGCCATCGATGAACCTCTTTTTGCACAACTTCGCATGCTCTGAAAAGTTGGTAGGTGGCTCGTCCGTGTCTTCGATGTTGGGGGCAAGGAATTCGATATGCTGCCACAACTCCTTGGCAAGACCCCCTCCATTCGAGATGTCCTTCGCGACCGGTCCCTGGCATGTCTCGCCGAGAGTCTCAAGCTTAGCATCTGTGAAAAGTGTCGGCGATGCTTTTTCCAAGGGCCGACGCCGCGCATGAGGCGGCAGTGGCTCTGTATCCGCAGTCCCCTCCGTTGGTCTTCGGGTCCCGCTCGTCGAACATGGATGCAGGCCAAGGTCCATGGACTGGGTCAAGCTTGGCCTTGGCGGCCGGAGCCACCGGTGGTGGCACTGAGCCAGATGCTGCGCCGGTCTGCTGAGGCGCGACGTCGTCGGGGACCTCAATGTCGACGCACATTGCATTGATTTCAGTCTGCTTCCGCTGGTATTCATCACGTGCTTGTTGATATTCCGCAGCTCGCGCCTGTGCGCGTTCTGCGATCTGTCTTTTCTGCTTCGCCGTCCATTCCGTCAAGGTCCTGGTCCTCTTTCTCGCGGGCGGCTTTCCTCTTATCATTTTTCTGTTGGACGTCGACCTCCATCTTCTGCCGCGCATCATCTATGGCTTGGCATTGCAGGATCTGCTGCTCCGGTCGCTGCCGGGGTGGCGGTTGCGGTGGTGTCTCCGGGTCCCCCCGCCACTGCCAGGGGCGGGACCTTGCCGGAGATGTCTTGAGCGTCTTGTCCATGTCCGGCACGAAGCGCGTGACTGTGACGTAGCTGGTGTCCGAGTTGGCGTCCTCGTGCGTGATCTGCCAACTAGGAACTTTTGCGTTGCCATTCTTAGGCTGGGTCTCTCCCGGATCCGCCCGGAGGAGCCAGCCAGCGTTGGAAGTTGATGGGGTCGCCAGAACCTCGATGCGCGTCCACCCACGCTGGTTCAGCCAAACTGTAAGTGCAGCCTAGGACCATTCCCGCGGAACACGGGTGAGGCGCCAACGGGGGGCGGTTGTCTTCGTCGGTTGGCGGCCGCGGACGCCTAGGTCAGACGACCCACCAGAGGCCGCAGGCAGAGTCCTTTGCCGACCTGTTGCGCCTGCGCCCACACACGGCGGTAATACGCCCCAGGGTCCTCATCTGCTTCACGCGACACGAAATCAACGCGGTCGGAGTCAGATGTGGAACCAGCGCGGTCTTTGGCGAGCACCTGGAAGACGCGCCCATCCTTGCCGCTCTGCTTGGAAATGATATCCTCCACCTTGGCCGCCTCAGCGATGATATAGCCAGTGATGAAGTCGATCTTCCCGTGCTTGTCTTGAGTGTTGGTGAATTTGTCGACGCGGTTGATCCACGTCTTGTCGATGCACTCGGTGCGCAGGCCTCCGTGCGTGCTCTGGCCTTCTGCTAGCCGTCAGCTGACATGTAGCATCGCTTGAGTGCAACCCGGAGGGACTGCGTCCGGGCCGCTGGAGGGGCAGCAGGGCCTGCAACCCCCGGGCTGCTGAAGACCACGCCGTTCCCCACGGAGTCGATCTTCAAAGACTTCAGGCCCGGCGGGTTTGCCTTGTCCTTGATGGGAATGCCCCTCCATGGCGATTGGTCCTCCCCTGGCTGCGGTGTAGACGCGTCGGTCTGGATGAAACCCATGTTCTTGGAGATACCGTGGCCGTCAATCAACAACTTAGCCGTGTCGATCTGGTCCCCAGACATGATAGTAAAATCACCTTATGGGGTCTTCCCTTGCTTGAGGTCGGTCAAAACCTTCTGCGCAGACATCAGCTGTCGGTTGCCATGTGCTGCTTGGTCGATCCGCCATGCCTTCTTCGAAGGCTCATTGTTGCCAGATGCAGGGAGCTTAGATTGGCGATCCTCGATGATCTGCTCCATTGCTTCCAGCGCATTTGCTTCGTCAGCCTTATGTTTGGTGAGCACTGAGATGAGTTTGTCAACGATGCCGGTGCTCGAATCGGCCGCAGGAGGGTCCGGCCTGGGCCGAGGCCGAAGCCTAGGCGCCCTCGCTTTATCGGGGACGGTGGGCGTGCCCGTTGTGGTGCGACCCTGTCTCTGTCGGGTTTGGTGGCGGGTCGCGTGGGCGGCACTGTGCCGGTTGCCCTGTCCGTAGCGCTCCAGTCCGCGCCTGCTTTGCCATATTGGTAATGCTATCCAGGAACGTCTTGACCATGTCCAACTGCTCCTGCATCTTTCTAGATCGATTACGGCCGCCAGCGCGACCGAACTCAGAGATCTGCTTCCGAAGCTGTGCAGTATTACTGTGCCCCGGCTGGTCAGTGGTCGAAGTAGGTACGGTCGAGCTTTGGATTGGGTCGTCGTTTGCCTGCGCCTCTGCGGGGCCAGCCGTCGTGGCACTCGAAGCTGAGCGCTGACCCCTGCGAGCAACGTGCTGAAAATGTAGGAGGCAAAGAAATCGGTGAGGCCATCTGCAGCGTGCCTTCCCAATTCTTCGAGCCGCAAGAGAGCGGCCATCCAACGAGCAAATGCTGCATGATGCACGCTTGCGCCCCCTGGCTGCCGGGTGCCGCACCGCCGCCAGCGCCCCCGGGCGGTGCACAAGCATGGTAAGGATGCACAGGGACAGAGCGCACAGCCCATAGGTCAGGTTCAAGAAATTGGGAATAATAATAACTTGAGCATGGCCGCCTGCGCGCCGATCGACAAGCCGCGCAGAATAGCTCGAACAGTTATGCGTCAGTGGCTGGACGGGATGACCCACCCCTCCAGCCGGCAGAAAGTAGGTATAGTTGAGAGGCATGCAATCGATTCCCACTGAATTGTCAGACATGTTCGCGTACATGTCCTGGACGTCGTCGGCCTCGCCGTACCGCGTGGCCAACAGCGTCCCAGGGTGCTCGAGGAAGTCGATGTCGCAGCTTACCCACGCGTCGTTCATCCCTACAAACAGCGCGCCCAGGACACAATGCAGGGCGAAGAGCACGATCTTCCACAGGAAGTTGCGCTTCTCGCCCCCCACGACCCCCTCGTGGAGGTAGTCCTCTAGGTCGTTGAGATACTCCGTATGCGCGCTCGCGTTCGCCAGCTTCAGCTCCGTCTCTGGGTCCTCCATGACGACGCGGGCCACCTGGCGCCCGATGCGCCCGAAACCGTTGTTGCCAACGCCGGCCGCCTCCCTGGTCACCTTCGCAGATGAGCGGCGACGGCTCGCGGCCACGCCCACGACGCTCGGAGGCGCCCCGAGTCTTGCCAGGGAGCCTTCAGGATCCTTCGAGACCACGCCGCTCCTCGGCGTCAGACTCCGTGCGGGGGCGCAGCCGAGAGCCGCAGCGCCCGGTGGGCAGCGCTGGGGGGGGCCCGGGCGACGCGGAACGCCGACTGAGCAAGGAGGAGGAGGAGGGGGAGGGGGGGGAGGAGTCGCAGCCGATAGCCGCACAATCCGGCGAATTAGAGGAGGAGCGGGGGGGGGGGGCAAGAATGGCGACATTGAGTCGGAGGCGCCACTCTGGTCTCTCCACTGTGCCCTGAGGGGGGTCAGGAGACCGTGGGGGGACCACCACGCCGAACCAATGTCGACGTTGAGTCGGAGACGCCACTTTGGTCGCTCCACTGTTCCGGTGGAGGGTCTGGAGGCCACAGGGGGAACAACGCGCCAGCCCACAGGCAGGGGACTGTGCTGTCGCCTTCCCAGAGCAGCACGCCCTGGTGGCTGCGCGCATGGGGGAAAAGCTCGCCAGCCCACTGTCGGGGGACTGCGCAAAGGCATCCCAAGAGCGGCACAGCCTGGAGACTGCGCGCGGGTGGTGCGCAGCCAGTCGAACGCAACGTTTGGCCACCCAGCGTGTTCCCTCCGACATCCTCGGGGCGAGCGCGTCTTCCGCGCCGTGGGGGCCTGTCGACTCGTCACCCTCGCAGCGTGTTTCCTCCGTCGTGCACGGGGCGCGCGTAACTCCCGCTCCGGGGGGGCCAGTCGACTCGCCACCCTCGCAGCGCGTTTCCTCCGTTGGAGAAGCACGGCACGTCCGACAACAGCCCGTCAGAACCGAGAGCGGGGAAGTATGAGACACCCAATCGCGCTGTAGAGCACGGTGTACAACTCGTAGTCAACAGAGAAGGTGGATCACAGAGAAGAAATCCAAACTGTCCACGGCATAGCCACACGCGCAGCACGCAGACAGAGGAGAAATGCACTGAGGTCGACGGTATAGCCACACACGCAGCACGTAGACAACAGCCAGGATAAATAAGTATAAACTCTGAAAGAAGCAAAAGTCGGACACATACCACGGAGGCAACTCGCACGGATGCCACGAGGGGGGTAGCAAGGCAACTGTGGGGAGACGGCCCACCACTGTTTTCTGCGCCTCCCGAGGGCCTGTTTATTCGGGTGGCCCTTTGCCGCGTGTTGACCAGTGCTCGCTCCGCCGCTCGGACCCAGGCGCCGCTACCGCGCCCAGGTCCAGTCGACGTCTAAGCCCAGCGCTGCGCTGAGGACCCGTGCGTCGCACTTGTGGCTGCGGAAAGATTCCGGGAAGAGGTGGCAGGTTTGCGGGTCGTGCCGAAACGGGTCGAGCGCGCCCTTGCGGCCAGGCACAGACTGCCGCTTGGCGAAAGCGTGCCAGGAGGTGCCACTGAACATTGGCCCCAGTGTAACTTGGAGTCGTCGCGTCGCCTCGCCGGGTGTCTCCCCGGGGAGGTCCCACTGGACGTTGTCGATTCCTGTTTTGTACAGCTGTTGTCCCGTGTCGGGGCCCTTGGGCCCTGGCCATTGACGCGGGTCGGGCCCCTGGTGCTGCCGCGCATCCCGGCCGCAAGTCGTCATCGCGGCGGCCTCGTTGTACTGGCTGGGGGGTTCGCGATCTGCTCGACAGTTCCGGCTGCGCGCCAGGCAGAATGGCGCGGGGAAGTGCAGGCCGCATGGTTGGCCGCCAGGCTGGGGTCGGACCGCGTCCGGCGGCCAGGGCAGACGTGGCCTTGTGGCACGTGGGGGGGGGGGGTCCCTTTCGCTGGCGTTCGCCTTCGGGCCTGTGCCTGCTGTCGCCCCCATGTGCGCCCCTTTGGCCAGCGCAAGTCTCTCTCCGTTTTCTGGAGTGCTACTGGTTGTGCCGGGCGCGCGTGCGCTCTGCGGCGCAACTTCCATAGCCGGAGCGCGAGCTGCTTTGCCAGCGTCGCCCGGGGCGCCTGGCGAGGGCACCTGGGGTTCGCCGTCCGCAAGGAGCTCACTGGCAGGGAAAGGGGGGCGAATAGGTGCAAAGGGGTTTCTCCCGACGAGCCAACGGATGGTTTCGCTGTCCTGCGTCTGGATGGTTGTTCCGTGGTCTCCTGGCTGGGCGCGTGGCGCTCCCAGAGGACTGCTGACGCGCTGGTTGCGCTGAGAGGGGAAATTCCGCGGCTTCCGCAGCCCCCGCCGTCTCCGCCGTGACTTCCCGCTCCATTCCTCTGTCCTGCCGGCGCAAAGGACTGCTGACGGACTGCTTGCCCAGAGGGGGGTATTCCGCGACTTCCGCGGCCTCCGCCGTCTCCGCCGTGACTTCGCGTTCCTTTCCTCTGGCCTGCTGGCGCAGCTGAAGGGGAGGGTCGTTCGTGTGAGCTGTACACTGGTCGCTGCAGGCTACCTCCTCTCGATTTCCCACTGTGACGTCGTCGTCAGACCACGAAGCGGGGGGTGGTATCGTGACCTCTGCCTCAACAGCCTCTCGATTCCCCTCTGGGACGTCATCTTCTGTCGACGAAGCGGGGGGTGGCACGTTGCCGCTGCTGCTGCTGCTATGCTCCGATATGTCCTTGTGCGTGGCAGGATCCCCGGGATGGTCGTCGGTCGTCGTCACGGGGCGTTGTGGTGGTCCGTGCTCAGGGCGGCCGTCGGGGACGGGGGGCTGGGGCTCGAGACGCAACGATTTGCATCTGGCCTAACGGGCCCCATTTCACTTCTGGGAATCGGTACGCTCGAAACCGCGCTCCCTTCTGACCTAACGGGCTCCGTTTCAGTCGTGGCCGAATCCTCCAGATGGTCGTCCGTCGTCCTGGTCACCACGGCTGGAGCCGTCTCGAAATTCTGAGTTCCAGGTCCCGTAAGGCTGGTACTGCAGCAGCTGCTGCGGCTGCTGTGGTGCTGCAGCGGGTCGGCGTCGTCGTTGTCGGCGTCTGCGTCGTCGTCGTCGTCGTCGTCGTCGTCGTCGTCGTCGTCGTCGGCGTCGGCGTCGGAGTCGGCATCGGCTTCGGCGTCGGCCTCGGTTTCGGCATCGGCCTCGACGTCGTCGTCGGCCGCCAGCCGCGGCGGGCCCAAGCGCGGCCGCGCGGGCCACGGCGGCCGCGGCGCCGGCCGCGTGGCGGCGGCGGCGGCCGCCGCGGCGCCGGCGGCCGCAGGGGCGGCGGCGGCGGGAGGCGGCCGCGCCGGCCGCCGCCGCGGCCGCGGCGGCGGCGCCGCGGCGGCGGCGGCAGCCGCACCGGATGGCTCGGCACTTGAAATTTCAGCGACTGGGCCTGTGTCCCGCTCCCTTCTGTCAGAACGCAACAGTCCTTTTTCTAGCTCCAATCGCACACTCTCCACGAGCTGCTCCGAGACCGCGGCGCCACGGAGAGGCTCCGCAGCGGCTCGTCGGGCAGCCAGATTCGCAGCGCGCTGGCGGCGTCGTCGTAAGCTCACGGACTCGCTCCAGTGCCACGCCCAGTGCCGGTGCCAGGCCCAGGAAGTGCCCCAGAGTCCTCGCTCTCGACGGCGACACTGGCCGCCTGCAAGCTCTGGGGGCCGCGTCGCAGACCGCAGGCCCGCAGCAGCGCCAGAAACACTGCGTCCGCCAGCGGCATCAGGGCCTGCGGCGGGAACGTGTCCTCGGTCCTCGTCTGGCAGCGGGTCTCGCCAGCCGCCATGCCAGCTCGAGGCGGAGGCAGGCACCCCTCCCGCCGGCCGTCCGCCACGTCGGGGGCCCGCGGCCGTCCAGAGGGGGGATCAGGAAAGGAGGGAGAAAGATGGAAGAATGGCCTCCTGGCGGCCGGCGGCTTGACCCAGAGCGGCTTGAGCCAAGGGGCTACGGAGCTGGTGGGGATACGCGAAACATCAAGAATTGTTTTATGTTTATGGCATTGATTATTCCCCGATCGTCCTCCTTTTCCTCCTGGGACCCTAGGGCCTCCCCCCAGGACGAAATCTGCATCCTAAATTGTTCTCTGGCAAACCCAGGGCCGGCAGAGGGCCCGGGGGCCCCAAAACGGCAACAAAAACATCAGGACCCCTGCCACCCCATGGCTCGCTTCCTCTTCCTCCTCCTCCTCCTGCTGCTCCTCCTGCTGCTCCTCCTGCTCCTAATCCTGCTCCTGCTCCTGCTCCTGCTCCTCCTCCTCCTCCTCCTCCTCCTCCTCCTCCTGCTCCTCCACATCCACCTCCTCCTCCTCCTCCTCCTCC